TACGACAGGAGGCTAGGAAAAGTCAGACAAAGACAGCACATGGACTGAGTGGCGAGCAGGGAAGGGGTGGGGGTGGGGTGGGGGGACAGGAGCAGAAAGCAAAAGCCTCCGCCTTCGTCGAGAGCCAAGCAAGAAGTATATATATCGCCCAGCTCTAGCCATGTGTGGACTCCAGTGTCTCATTAATGCACAGATGACTGATAGAAAGTAAAACTGTGATAGTAGGTCTGAATATTATTCATGTTCAGGGTTTTGTTCCTGAAATTTGGACTTTAATTGTCTGTGTTCCTGTCCTTGCTAAAAGTTACGGGTTTAATTTGAGCTCGACAGCAAGTTAAACTCTGGAGACATGATGCAAGATGTCCTCAAAGTTGTTTGTAGTTTTTAATATAAAATCTCACTGCACGCATGCATTGTAAGCGATTTATTTTTTTTTGTCAACTGCGTAAATTTGTGCATTAATCACATGAACCCTCGACATTTGCGCCAGAATAAAAGCGTGGCTTTAAAAATGAGAGTCAAGAACAAATAAACAATTGAACCAAAACTCACCTGAAAGGCTGAACAGCATGTTCAAAGGGAACACGTTCAAAGCAGCTTCACACAAATGTTATGATTTATAAACAACAAAAGCAGGTTTATTCTTTATTTTGATTAATCAGCAAAGCAACATTTATTTTTGTTTAATTTGAGAAAACCAAGACGATGGCAAAAAAATACACGTTCAAATTAATCAAATAAAGTAAAATCCTCCTCGGGACCTGCTTCGACCAGCTGTGTGACATTGTCCAGCACATGTTCAACCTGAGCCTGAAGCAAGGCAGAGTTCCACAGCTGTGGAAAACGTCGTGCCTGAAAGGCAGAGTTCCACAGCTGTGGAAAAACGTCGTGCCTGGTCCCAGTGTCTAAGACCCCCCCACCCGAAGGAGCTCAACAGCTACAGACCGGTGGCGCTGACATCTCACCTAATGAAGACCCGAGACAGACTCGCCCTCGCATATCTACAACCGCTGGTGAGCTCGTCACTGGACCCACTGCAGTTTGCCTCCCAGCCCAGCATCGGCGTGGAGGACGCCATCATCTTCCTCCTCCATTCTGTGCTGTCCAACCTGGAGAAAGCTGGGAGCACTGTAAGGATCACGTTCTTTGATTTCTCCAGTGCCTTCAACACCATCCAGCCCAACCTGCCGGGGGACAAGCCGCAGCACGCCAGAGTGGACCACCACCTCATATCACGGATTACAGATTATCTCACAAACTGGCCACAGGGCTGTGAGTCGGACAGGCTTCTCTGCAGCACCAATGTGCCGCAGGGGACTGTCCTGGCTCCATTCCTGTTTATTCTCTACACCTCGGACTTCAGCTACGTCATTTCACCCTGCCACCTTCAAAAGTTCTCTGATAACTCTGTGATCTTCTGCCTCATTATGGACGGAGATGATCGGGAGTACAGAGGACTGACGGAGGACTTCGTGGACTGGTGCCTGCCGAACCACCTCCAGATCAACCGCAGGAAAACTAAGGAGTTGGTTGTGGATTTCTGCAAGAAACAGTCCTCACCTGCACCGATGAACATCCAGGGTACGGACATAGAGATGGTGACCTCCTACAAGTACCTGGGTGTTCTTCTCAACAATAAACTCGACTGGTCTAACAACACGGATGCTCTGATCAGGAAGGGGGAGACCCGGCTCTTCCTGCTCAGAAAACTGAGGTCTTTTGGAGTGAAAGGGTCACCCCTTATGACCTTCTATGACTCTGTGGTGGCCTCAGCCATTCATTATGGCATCGTCTGCTGGACAGGTCGCATCTCAGCCCGGGACAGAGAGAGACTGGACCTGGTGCTGGTCAGGAGGGCCAGCTCTGTCCTGGGCTGCTCCCTGGACCCTCTGGAGGAGGTGGGCAACAGGAGGATGCTAGCCAAGCTAAAATATGTGATGGACAGTCCCTCCCACCCCCTCCAGGCCACACGGATAGCACTGGGCAGCTCCTTCAGCCAGGGACTGATACACTCGTGCTGCAAGGAGGAGAGGTACCACCGCTGTTTCTGCCAACTGCTGTCATACAGACCTGAAAACCTGGACTCACCCCCACTCACCCAAGGAGGAGAGGTACCACCGCTCGTTTCTGCCGACTGCTGTCAGACAGACCCGAAAACCTGGACTCACCCCCACTCACCCATTTTTAATGTGCATCTATTTATATTTTATAATTTATAGACTTTTTGTTCTTCTACTTCTCCCTTTCATAATTTTGCTGCTGTAAATTGGGAATTTCTCTATTGTGAGAAAAATAAAGGTTTTCTTATCTTAGAATGATTTTCAGTTCAGAAATCGGTTGTGTGACATCATCAAAACGTATTAGTGAGTGGACACTCACATAATGACAAAAAAGTCCAGGGGCACACAAGTCAAAAAAGGTTGGGAACCACTGGTCTAGGATCTATTCCAAAATCCACCACAGTTCATTATGGTGTCTCTATAATGTCCTCATTATTTTAGGAAGAATTAAATCACTTCAAAGTGAGAAGGGGAAGAAATAGGCAAAGCGTATCATGGAGAAATTACATACAATAATACATTGTATGTAATTTCGCCACAGTTTTACAATTTAATTAGAGAATGCCCTAGAGAGAGAGGATTATATTCAACAACAAGACACAAAGCTAAATTTAGGACAAGCCATTGGCCAAAGCCTCCCCGCAAGGTGCTATGTCCACATACTCGAACTATCCATAAGCCATCCATTATCCAAGCCGCTTATCCTCACGAGGGTCGCGTGCATGCTTGAGCCTCTCCCAGTTGACTTTGGGCAGTAGGTGGGGTACACCTGAACTGGGTTCCAGCCAATCAACTATCCATTATTCCAGGGTAATTATGAAAGATATGATTGCTTCATCTAATATCAAAGGGTCTAGCATGTTTTAATGCGTTTCAATCAGCCGTTTCACCACAACACATCACTGAGACTACACTTATTAAAGTCTAAAATGGCATATATCTGAATAATGAGGCCTTCAAAATTACCATCTTGGTATTGCCAGATCTCGGTGCTGCATTTGACACAGTTAATTAGAATATAGTTGTACTGTTATCACTTCATGCTGGATACACTGGGGATGTTAACAGCAGGTCAACAGCAAGTCAAACTCAATCTTCATGAGCCAGGAAACTGAGCATCTTGCTCTTGTATTCCAGTCATCTCGACAGCTTACCGTGAACAACTGTGACATCAGCTCGATGAAAATGTTGAGTGAAACTTAAATGAACAAATTTAAAACATGCATTAGCTTTTGCTAAACAAATAAATATATCACAAATTGTCTAATGCCAAACAGGCATAAATACAGCTTTAGTTGTGACAACGGTAAACAAAGCAATTTCGTGATCTTTTTGTGTGCCTAAGAGATTGTTAGCGCGAAACCTAGCGGCATTGCTACGTTCATAGACAGTGCTCTGAGCTAGCAAATTTCAGGGATAATGCTTAACAAAAACGATCTCTGAAACAGATCACTAAATACTTCAAAGCAAAATTCAATTTAAAGCCATTACTTTCGACAGTGTACATAAAAGCAACCTAACACAGCAGTCAGGCTTTCTGCAGCGACTGGTCTCTGACTGAACACCAAGTCTGTTACCCATAATGCATTGCGATTACTCACTCCATTTTCAGAATAAAATACAGATAAACAAACGCTGACTGGATGGAAGTTATTCTAAACACAATTACCTTTTTAGTATGGAATAACATAAATTATGACGTTTTAAACAAGGAAATGTCATTCGACTTTTTTTTTTTCTTTTAACCTTTTCTGTCTCAACCAGGGAGGCTCGGTGACTGGTTAGTGCGTCAGCCTCACAATGCAGAGGTGCTGGGTTCAGTTCCGGCTCCGGCCTTCCTGTGTGGAGTTTGCATGTTCTCCCCGTGTCTACATGGGTTTTCTCCGGGTACCCCGGTTTTCTCCCACATTCCAAAAACATGCATGGCAGGCTAATGCAACACACTGAATTGTCCCTAGGTGTGTGTGTGAGCGCAAATGGTTGTTTGTCAATGTGAGCCCTGCGGTCAGCTGGCAACCAGTTCAGGGTGTCCCCCGCCTACTGCCTGAAGACAGCTGGGATAGGCTCCAGCACACCCAGCGACCCCTGTGAGGATTAATTTGATATTTTTCCAAGTCATTTATTAAAAAGCACAGAAATATAATGGATGCATGATGATGTCAGATAAGGTAGAAATGTGAGGCAAACTGAAACAACAAACAGATTAATTTATAATCCACATTGTCATGTGCAACACATCATTTCCAAGTAGCTCCAATATTTTTACCCTTTTCACAAAACATTCCCATATATCACTTGTTATTATGCTTCTGTTAAGATTGCGTTCCAGATTCCCAACAGCATTTGAAAGCATCATAAATCCCTCTATGTCCAGTAAGCCTCTCAAGGCACAGAGGGAAAAAGGTCACCATTGGCAATCTCTTCTGGAATTGCTTGTCCATCCTAAGTATGACTGTATAACAATAAGACTTTTTTTAAACCGTCGCTTCACCCGACATTTCTCTGCTGTGACAAGTATTTAGCTTCATTTGTCCTCACCCACAAACACAACTTTGCTGTCGTTCCAAAACGTTAAAAAAAAAGTTAACTGTGTACCACGTGTGAATTGACTGTTTTCGAAAGAATCTGTTAAAATCCCAAGCTTTTTTTTCCCCCAGCAGCATGAACATGTTAGAACAGACAACAGTTCAATTGTGCATCTCTTTGCGGGAGGAATTTAATAATAATTTCAAGTGTGGGAACTCACCTGAGAAAGATTGTCTCTCCTTGTGTGACGGTAATATTGTCCATAAATTTTTTGTCAGATTGAGAATCACCTTGACTGTGGACAGGCAAACCTGCGGGCACAAGAAGCAAAATCCTCAGCGAGAGAAGGGCTGTACACTTGCAAAAGATGACCAAGTGTCCAAGGACAGACATTATCCTCAGCGTTTAGAGGTGTGGGAACAATTCCCATGCCAACAAAGTCCACTTTGTCCCAGTAAACATACTCCTGGAGATTATTTGACCCCACCCCTAACTCATTGGGCTTAATCCAAATGTTGTTGTCAGATAGCTCTGGCTCGCAGACACAATCCCTTGTCCCAACTCGATTTTTATTTTTTTAAGAATAGGTGTAATCCCTCCAGACAGATTGTAGTTCCATCTAACTAGTCACTTCAATCTGCCAAACTATCTTTATAAATATTCTGTAAAACTAACTGACAACTGTTGAAAAATATCAATCATGAAGAAAGGGAGGCTTAGGCGAAAATGCAGACATTTAATAAAAATAATGTGACTGGACTTTTTTTTTTTCATTGAAATACATGACAAAACTTTGGGAGAGGGGAGGGCTGGATTTGCCATCTGGCACAGAGTACGGATTCATGGGGGAATGGGGTCTTTTGAGGCCAACGCGGTGCTATTTCACTGATGTTTTCTTCAGTTCACATGGTAAGAGGACGTTATCAAAAGCAGGTTTAAAAAAAAAAAAAAAAAAAAAGTTAAAAATATTAGCAAAGACCAGGGGTCACCAACGCAGTGCCCATGCGCACAAGTTAGCCCCCGAAAGGCAACATCAGTAACCTGCAGGCTACTGACCAGGAGGATTTCTGACTTTCTAGCAATAGTGTAGGAGTATAAACACTGGCAGATGGCAGAGATTTATATAAGTAGTGTGTTACATATTTGTTTCCTGATTGAGAAATCAGTAATGATCAGTGTCTTGACATAGTGATTCAGCCATCTCGTTACCTCTGCGTCCCGCGTCCTTGACGCACAATTTTCCTGCGGGACGCGCAGTTCCAAATAATGTGCGTTTTTGGGACGCAAGGAAATTTCTCAGTCAAAACAAAACAAACAAAAAAAAAACTACGGCATGCCTGAGGATTTCACGGTAACGATCGTTGCCAGTAGTGTGTCGTTTCCGTGGCATCATTTTGGCGGTACCGAAAAATCGTTTAACCATAAAAGTCACTGCACACGAGTTGACTGTACGCGATCAAATCTCTCCTGTGTAATCAACGCGATTTCACTGTGCCTGTATGTGTGTTTGTGGTGTGGTGTGTGAGTGTGTTTCTTCTAATTTACTTTCGTTTTGTTTTCAGTGTTGGGGGGGACGGAACTGATAACGTCATGTGCACGTGCGGGTTGCTATTTTAGTCCGCAAACTGAGGAATCGCATGGATGAAATTTTGAGATGGCGGCGAAAAAAACACACAAAGGACTACTAATTACGACATTTAAGAAATGGGAATGCCAGTCTGATTTTTCGTATGAATCGTCCGAAGGGCTTATCACTAAACTCACCTGTGACGTAAGCACAGAACACGAGAGCGAGATATGATGGGAGGCACAATTCCGAGGCAAATTGGTCATTAGATCTATAGGCTAAATAAATAGCTTTTCTGAATAATTGCTACGAAAAATATTATGAAACAGTCTTGGTTATTCTATAATTTACTGGTTGTAGCATGGTAACTTTAGGAATAAAACATTCGTCACAAGGTGCAGTTATGCTAATGTTAACTGTTGGTGGAACTAATGATGACGTGTGTTAGATTCTTTTGTCAAATTGATAGTAGATTACACATGCATCGTCTTGGGAAGAGGATGTCAAACGTTCCCATGATGAACGTTTACGGAACCCAAAATTAGTTACCGTGGTTTCCCATTGGGTAATCCGACGGAACCGAAAAACGGTTACCGTGAATTTCCGAAATCCTCAGGCCTGCTACTGAATTATTTAAATTTTTTGCAGCATTTGTATAATTGTATGTATATGTTGTTGTTTGTGTTATTATCATATGCAATTGAATAAGTAGACCTATTAAGAATTCGAAATTTGGGACTCTCTAAATGTGTAATGGGACTCATACTTTTCTGATCAGCGAGTCCCTGGGACTCGCTGGGGGTAAACTGTAAAATTATCACTGAATGATTATCATTAATTATTTACATTACCCAGGGGTCAGCAACCCAAAATGTTAAAAGAGACATATTGGACCAAAAACAAACAAAAAAAGAAATATGTCTGGAGCCGCAAAAAACTAAAAGCCTTATAATGAAGGCAACACATGGTGTATGTATCTATATTAGCTATATTAGCCTACGTTGGCTGCAAATACACAATGAGCCTTCATGATTAATTTTTTTTCCCCTGCAGTGCATCCTGTAGAGCAGGCATGGGCAACCTTTTTTGACCGAAGATCTACTTTTCCATCAAACAAACTCCTGCGATCATACGCACGCACTTACACACGCATGGCACAGTGAGCCACAGCTACAACAGCCCCTAAAATGAACTAAACAGAAAAATAATGTAGACACAAGAGTTTGTGAAAATCACTGCCTCCTACATTTGTTGAGGCCTGACGCACTTTTGCATCGTGTTAACTATCGTAGCTCACATGTACCGTTTAAAAATGCTTCTCAGCCTTTCAAATTCCCATTCTTTGCCAGTACCCTCGGTGAATTGAACATGATTTTTTTTACAACAGCCACCTGCCTGGCATCCTGCCCTGCTAATAGAAACGTGTGTCGCAAGCTATGATGCAAATCTTCGTTCACACAAATGAAATGAAATTTAATATTTATTCTACACATTTTTACAGTCTATTATCAATATCAATAAACAAACAAACAAACAAACAGCTTTGGAAAACATTAAGAATGCTTGTGTCATGTTTGCCCTCCTACAGAAACTACATTAAAAATAAATATATATTTCCCTCCCCCAACTTTTTTCATTTTCAAACATTTTTGAAAAAGCTCCAGGGAGCCACTATGGCGGCGTTAAAGAGCCACATGCGGCTCTACAGCCGCGGGGTGCCAACCCCGCCATTATCAAAGGGAATTTGAGCCAATTTCATATTTAACATTGTAGGATTGCTGGCGTTTCATGGTTCACAAAATGTAGTTCATGAAATGTTCCTGAATTTGTATAATTTTTACTCTTACATACAGCCCCGGTTTATTGCTTTGATTTCAGCACGATTCATTTTAAGAATAATTAAGTCTGAATGCAAGATGTGTAAATATGGTCCCGCATTGTCCACTCATAATGAATGGAAAACATGTCATTTAATAAGACACAAAGATTTCTTGACCCCTGGACCTCTGAAACACGGGAAAGAGCCTCGTTTAAGCGGCTTGTAAACTACGTCCATGTTTGGACTTTCTGAATGAAATGGTCTGTTTCGCCTGCAGCTTTCCCTTGCCCAGAAACAGGTCGCCGGGGCCCCTCTCTGGAGCCAGGCCTGGGGGTGGGGCTTGCTGGTGAGTGCCTGGTAACCGGGCTGACACCCATGGGCCCTGGCTGGGCTCAGCCCAAAAAGGCAATTTGTTCCCATAGGCTCACCACGTGGTGGGAGTGGTTTGTCGACCTTTCTAATGTAGTCGGACAAAAAAATCTTGTTCGAGTCCTTTTCCTCAAGTCATGACCACTTGAACGTGTTCCTAACACTTGCGTCTATTGCACATAATGTCAGCTTGCCTGTCTACCTGTTTGAACATTGCGCTGAGGCCGTACCTGGCCGATCACGAATGAATTCGTTTACACATATATTCAAATACTTGACATTCAATGATTAATCAGCCTTTTGTGTGCACATGTGTACCCTTTGTGGCTTCCGTTCTCGCCGATATTTCGAAATCTCCCAGATATGGCGAGGGCATGACAATGAGAGGGGAGGGGTGTTACTGTTACTAGTGTTCGTGGCCTCAACCTGGCTACGCTCGTGAAAGCAAAACAACAAACTCAAACGCGTGTTCGTTCAATGTTGTCAACTAATATCCGGATTAATTTTAGGCAAGTTTTTCTCAATTTTCCGGAGGAAATTTCATGAAAATTTGAAAATCCAGAATCCCGGGAAAATCCAGAGGACTTTCATCTCCAATGGTTTGGTTGTTATTGTCGAAATTAAAGGTGTGATTAGAAAAGCAAAAATAATTAAAAGGCTCGAGGACATTATTAAAGAGGTGATATTACAACTTAAAACTACAGTCGATGCATATTCGTAGTTCATCACCTGCAAATTGACTGGCGATTAGTTCACGGAGTCGAAGTCAGCTGGGAATGCCCCCTCCTACTGTTTTTTTTCAGGGAAAATATCTATTGACTATTGTGTTTTGAATTGTTGCAAATTGTAAAAAGAAAGAAATCACCCGCATTTTTTTTCCTGTGAGCAACACTTTAGATTGGTGATGTAACTCTGTTCAACAACAATAATGAATTAGAAAGATATCTATTTCATGTCAAGAGATATGAAGGTTTTGTTTGAGGCACGGACGGCTGTTTCGGGATGTAACCACCTGCGTCGAGTTGACTTTTCCCATCAATTCATCAGGAAAAAAAACCCAACAACATAAAACCTAAAACCTTACATTTTTGTCAATACACTACTAAGAACAAGTCATGTTCATAGTGGACCTGCCTTGGCCTGCCAGCATGTATGAAGGTTAGTGATCTGGGGGCATTTCTTTAAGGAGAGAAGCAAGGTGGGGGATGGAGGGGTGAAGGCGAAGGAGAAAATTAGCAGAGCTCGTGTTACAGGCTGCCAATTCACAAGACATTGTTGAATAAATACATATTCTATAAATATTTCAAAAAAATGAAACATGAATTGATGACAAAATGGTAGAACAACAAGAACAAATACATTACAAGAATAATAGAAACCCCAAATTCTCATGATGTTATGCAAAGCGTAAATAAAACAGAATACAATGATTTGTAAATCCTTTTCAATCTATATTCAATTTAAGAGAAAAGTGACAAAATATTTAATATTAAAACTGATGAATGTTTTTTGGGTGGCACGGTAGAAAGTGGTTCGCATGTACGCCTCACAGTACA